TTTGTGATTTGGTCTTGACTCTTAAACCTGCAACCCAACAAACTAATGTTAATCCGTAGCTGAACTTTCCAGGAAGCTGCACAGAAACATCGTTGTGGTACCAATCGAAACTTGGAAGCATGCTTGAGTGGCAGCCCCCTTTACCTTATTTGGCCACCAACAAACTGTCTTCTTTCTAACAAACTGTCTCGTCTAGCAAGATCCAATCCGTCTTCTTTCTTTTAGATATCTTTACCAAAGCCATTGAGTTGCATTTGCCATTTGCCATTTGCACCATGTTTATTTCTACATTATTGACAGTATGGACATGTTTGGTATGATATAATATAACAATATATATATATATATATATATATATATATATATATCTGACGTGTTTTTGCAAGATGAGTCACATAGCCTTCTCTTGTTTTTATCTACATAAAATGAAGGGTTCTAAGAATCAATACAATGATGGTAATAAGACATTTTAAGATAATATAGAAATTGATCATTTCAAAAATTTTAAATGCATCCGATTATAGAAATTTAAAACATAACATGGCCTAAGGTAAAATAAAAATTTTCACTGAAAGTTAAAAAGAACTTAGAAAAGTAAAACTAAAAACCCGTTATATGTATAATTAAGTAGGAACAAAAAATACATAAACCAAAATAAATAAATAAAAAGCTTTTACTAAAATTCAAAAAGCTTAGGTACACTAAAACTAAAAAATCCATTACGCATCAAGTTGGTAGGGACGAAAAATCAAAAAATCCACGAAAGGTGCGCGTGGTTAGGAAATGCTCTGAATTAATGACGTTAGTGTTCTAAGCTCTTGTTTTCTCTAACATAAGCTTCCAAATTCTTTTCGAAACTCAACTTTGTCCTGTTCAACACGGAGCCCCTTGTTATGTTTATCTTTATACACGAAAGCCGAAAGCACCATTGCTATTCAAATCAAAATGGCTTAAAAATTGTTTTACAACAATTAATAATTGTGAATGGGATGAGTTTAACTCAGTGTTAAATCCTTTTGAATAATTGTTCTACAATTTTGTGTTGCTATAAATTATTGGCGACCCATTCTTCTTCTAAATATTAATTGGTCTACTACTGGACTTGATTTGCATGAAAATTGCTTATCTAAAAAGAATAATATGCTTCTTTGAATATGTCAATGGAGGCGAAGACCGTCCTATGACAAGCAGGCAATATCTTGAGCTAGGTCAAGAGTGGTGAGGATTCCTGGCACGTTTGGACTGGACTGTCAAAGGTGAATGTCACTTTCTTTTATACCATTTAGGGATGGCTTATTTTATGAGACGCATGGCATAGATATATGAGGATTAGAGAAGGAGATGCGAATATTTGCATCTTTTTGAGCTCCTCAAAATCTGATCCTACGTTGATGCCTACCCCTTCCTTTACGGAACTTGTATTTCCAACACTAATTAACAAAAGATGGGGACTTTTCTTTGTATGTCACTGGTAAGAACATTATTCTTTCCTCTCTTTCTTTGTGCGTTTTTTTTTTTTAAAAAAAAATACAAGTAGACTTCCTAAGGAAACAACTCTACAACGTTATTATTAGTATTATTATTTTATGAATCCATAAATAGCTTACATCGTAGATAATTGGATGAAAATAATTTGAAAAGACATATATATATAGAATGAGCATACATGTAAAAGATCAATTGCTAAAATAATAAATATGTAGTATAGAAATGATATCTATTACCATATATGATTGTAGTAGTTTTCAATGAGTTTGTAAAACAACCTATACAATGGAGCGAGTTTGGAAAAAATTTATAATATATAAGGAGTAGCTAATGACATGTATAGTAGTTACTCTTTAGATCCACTTTGAGGAGAGAAATTACATCAACACCAACCAAAAGTGATAAGAAGATTTCCATATCCGTTTAAATTTTTTTATTTTTTCTCTTCTATTTTTCTCTCTCTCTTTTTGTGTGTCTATTTCTCTCCTCAAAGTGGACCAAAAAAATAACTACTGCACATGCCACTAATTACTCGTTGTGTATTATAAAATTTCTTGCGAGTTTGTATATCATTTCGTTAAGTATAATAAAGTCACCTTATTTCAACATAATTAATTTCATTTACCAAATCATGGTGCTAAAAAGGGTATTTGCAAATATAAAATCTGTATTTTGATTTTCTTTTTTCTATTGATGTCCTTCAATTTCTTCTATAAGAATTGTTGATGTGATAATTTAGGAATTAATTTCTCATTTTTTTTCTTCTCACCTCCTTTATTTTATTTTATTTTATCAAAATTTTTTATTTTATCAAAATTGGAGCATGTCTTGATAGATATTTTTATTTTAAATAGTAAAAACATTTTAAAACCAGCTTTAATTTACTAAAAGTAAAATTTCTTTTTCTTTGGATCCTAACCAGGTCATTTACATCAAAATTTTCAGTAAAAAAAAATAATTTTCTTATTGTTTCTCCTAATATTGAATACTAGAGAGGAGCATACCTAAAAGTATTTTATCTTGTTTTTTTTTTTTTTTTTTTTTTTTTTTTTAAGACTCGTAGTTTATGTTGATTGTCAAGGATTATGCAATTAATATTAGTAGTTAGTAGTTAAAGTAGAAGGAAAAAAATCGTATTATTACGATAGACTGAATTAATTATCGTTACAAAAATGAGAAACTATTCTAACTTGTTCTTATAATGAAGTTTTTTTTTTAACTCAAATATTTTAAAAGGAAAATTTGAAAGTGTAAAAAATGATATTCTCTAACCATACACTTCTTAGTTTTCTAAAAGAGCTTGGAATAAAATAAAATGAAAAGTCAAGTTACAAACTAAATGGAAAAAAAAATCATAATTAAACACACTCCAATTTCTTTAATTAATGACATCAAGTTACTGGGAATTGGGAATTAGGAAAGGAAGATTAACTTCAAATTAATATTATTTTCTTTAATGATTCGATATCAATTAGAATTTATAGTAAGCTTATATAGACAATTCAATTTATCTTCCAATCAATTCATATTTATATTACTAAGAATTTATAGTAAGCTTATGTAGACAATCCAATTTATCGTCCAATCAATTCATATTTATATTACTAAAGAGACCGCCATTGAGTTAAAAAATTCTACTAGTAATTTTTATTTTCAAACTGTATTTCATCAGCAAAACATTCCGAAATAGTTTATGAAAATGATATGATTGTACTCTTTAAATGATAAGAAAAAAAATGTATTTTAAATAGTATAAAAATAAATATTAAACTGATTACCTAACACAAACCAAACAAAAAAGGCAACCCTCTTTTTCCTATTTCAAGAAAAAGATTTTTCCTACCAATTTTAACCCAACCCCAACAAAAAGGGCAAAAATAAATAAATATCTTTTTGAATTCAGAAGGACACAAATCCTGGCATTAATTCTTCGACAGCCGATATCACACGTAAAGCTAAATAACGGCTGTCTTGAGTATTGACCGCGTAATCCGACGCGTGTCTCCCACATCATACGCTAATGTCTTCCGGCATTAGCTGACTTACCACTTCTACCCTTCCTCCTTGAATTCTTAAAAGCTAAGTATTTAAGGTCATATTAGTCAAGTAATGACTCCAGCTCAGATCACTACAAACATTTTTAACCCTTTTAATTTGTTTGGTAAGCTTTATTTCTCCACCTGCATTTTTCAGGAAAAGTCAGTTTGCTCCCCCCATATTTATATTTTCAACTTTCTCCCATAGTCAATTCCCACATTCATAGACTCAGCTAATGAATAAACAAAATACAATAATCCGTGAGATCATTTAATTATTTACCTTTTTTATAAATGTGGTTGAAATTGCAAATTAGAATTGCTTAATAATTTCTCCAAAATCATGCCAATTAGTAGTGACTTGATAACATCTTTTAATTTTATACATCAAATACCAATTAGTATAATGGTAAGTGAATTTTTAAAAAATATTCATCCATAACGTTAAAAATTCAAAACTCACCTCCCATAGCTGATAGTTGATAGTATGTTTATATTTTAAACTATAATCATAGTTACTTATGAAATGATCTAAGGTTTTGGTCTAGAAATAAATGTTGTGAGATCTTTTTAGATAAAAATAGTATAATATGGGCATAATTTTTCTTGTCGAAAAATATAAAATAGCCTACCTACCTTTTCTTTTTATGGATAAAAATCAAATGAGTATAAAATGGATGGAGGCTATTATCAATTGGTGTGATTACGGAGGAAATTGAAAAATAAAACGAAATACGAGGAGGAAGTTGAAAAAAATAAAACAGGAGGAGCAACTTGACTTTTCAACAAACGTATGGGGCAAATAAGGATCATCAGCATTTTTATTATTCTTATAGGCGGTTAATGACAGCAGTAAAAAAAAAAAAAAAGGGGGTAAAAAAACCAACGAATCCTACTCCTCCTTGTAATATGTTAACAGCAGAACTGACTTTTAAAATGCCAGATCACTACAAATCCTCTTAAGAAACAATTTATTTAACAAAAAATAATAACCTCAAGATCAAAAACATGTGAACCGTTGGATGGAAAAAAAGAAGACACATATGGGACTAGACGGAAGGGGGAGGGAGCAAGAGAGGGATTTTGCCAATCGAATCCTGTGTCTATAAATTGTGTAAGAGAGACTTATTATTATTATTATCATTATTTATCTGGTGTAAGAGAGAGCCGAACAAAAAAAGAGAACACAATAAAAACCACCAAACGGCTATTATTGTCACTGCAAGGCTGTGTTGCTTTGTTGTAGAGAGATTTAAGATTGTGGGATTTTACGGGATTGGTTTGGGAGATATTTGTCTGGGCAAATTTTGGCCACCAGTTGTATAAGAGAGGGCGGAGAGGCTTTGTTTGATCTGGGTTTTAGAGGATCTCTCTCAAAGTTACTCAAAGTTTGTGGCTTTGAGAGAGAAAGAGAGGTTTTTGATTGAGCATTTGTTTTTCTAAGTGTTACAATTCTGATTGATTGATTGATTAATCATGTCTGATGGGTACTATAGTTCCAAGAAGACTGATGATATATGTGAGGATGTTTGTGGCCAGGTAATCTATTCTTCTTCTTTCAAAGTTTTGATTTTTATTCTCTCTCTTTTTTTTTAAATTATTTTTTATTTGGAATCTTGGATATCTTGATTTTAGATAATATACAGTTGCTCTTTTTTTGATATTTGAATTGTTCATTTTAAAATTTTGATTTCATTTCTCTTCCCTTTTAATTCCTTTTCCGAGATTTTTGTTATTTAGTTTTATTTTTTTATATAATTTAGTGCGATGATGCTTTGGAAAGGGGAATATCAGAGTTAATGGTTTTGGTTTTTTTCTTTTTTCTTTTAATTGATATTACTGAATTTGAACGTGAATTGCTGATGTTTTGATTTTTTCCCCTCGTGGTTGTCATGTATAATTTGAAATGAAGGTAAGAGTATGAAAATTAATGATGTGGGTTTTTTTATCAAAAGTTTTAGATTTTGTAACTTTTGGATTAATCGTGTGTGATATTTTGACAGTTTTATTCCTTATAGTGATAGTGACTTTATTTATTTTTTATCTGTTTTGACATTCAGTGAACTGGTTCTAATTCTCAATGTATCTGCAATCTGTCAAACAATAGCCATAGACTCTATAGAGTTCTTGCACTTGAACTGCATTTTTTAATCTTTGGTTGTTGTTTGTGTTTTCTTGCTGTGGATAATGTTCTATCATCACAGGCGTAGTTGTTAAATGTTGCTATTATTCTGTAAAATTCCGACACCTTATTTTTATTCTCGGTATCTTAGAAAGTGTTTGTTTTAACTTGCAACATTTAATCTTTGGTTGTTGTTTGTGTTTTCTTGCTGTGGATAATGTTCTATCATCACAGGCGTAGTTGTTAAATGTTGCTATTATTCTGTAAAATTCCGACACCTTATTTTTATTCTCGGTATCTTAGAAAGTGTTTGTTTTAACTTGCAGCAGTCGTCTCGAGCAGCTCTGAGCATGTCTAGACTGAAGTGTATCTTACGGGGGTTGGATTTCAAGACCTATATATTCTTGTTGGTGCTTGTTCCATTAGGAATATTTGGCATGTATCTGCATGGCCAGAAGATCAGCTATTTCCTGAGACCATTATGGGAATCTCCTCCAAAGCCCTTCCAGATAATTCCTCACTATTATCATAACAACGTATCAATGGAGAATCTTTGCAGACTTCATGGTTGGGGGATTCGTGAATCCCCACGGCGAGTTTATGATGCGGTGTTATTCAGTAATGAAGTAGACATTCTCACGATTCGATGGAAGGAATTATATCCTTTCATAACACAGTTTGTTCTTCTCGAAGCAAATTCAACATTTACTGGCATACCCAAACCATTGCTCTTTGCAAGCAATCGGGCCAAATTCAAATTTATAGAGAACCGATTGACTTATGGGACAATTGGAGGAAGATTTAGGAAAGGTGAAAACCCATTTGTTGAAGAAGCATATCAGAGAGTAGCATTGGACCAGCTTATTAGAATAGCAGGGATTGAAGATGATGATTTGCTGATAATGTCTGATGTTGATGAGATCCCCAGTGCTCACACAATTAATCTCTTGAGGTGGTGTGATGACACCCCTCCAGTTCTTCATCTTCAGTTGAAGAACTACTTGTACTCTTTTGAGTATTATGCAGATAACAAGAGCTGGCGGGCTTCTGTTCACAAGTACAAGACAGGGAAAACCAGATATGCTCATTATCGTCAGGCGGATGTCCTCTTGTCAGATGCAGGGTGGCATTGCAGCTTTTGCTTCCGCCACATCAGTGAGTTCATATTTAAGATGAAAGCTTACAGCCATTATGATCGGGTTAGGTTCTCTCATTACTTGAACCCTAAACGGATTCAGGACGTGATTTGCAAAGGGGCTGATCTATTTGACATGCTACCTGAGGAATACACATTCAAGGAGATTATTGGGAAGATGGGTCCTATCCCTCATTCATATTCAGCAGTCCATCTGCCAGAATTTTTGTTGAATAATGCTGAGAAGTACAAATATCTCTTGCCTGGTAACTGCATAAGGGACAGTGGGTGAAGTTTCTTGCAAAATGACAAATCTCTGTAAATGCTGGATGCATGTCATCCGTTGCACCGAAGAGGGCTGTATCTGAAAGCTGATGGCGATGTGTAGCATTAGTACCGGTATAGCCTTTGTCGGTTGAATCCATTTCATTCTTATAGAGAGACAAGATGAACTTGGAAGGTTCTTGGTGTACGAGGGGAAACTATGTGTATTCCTTTTTGCGGACTTGGGTTTCTCCATTATGGAGAGGTATATTCAGTTTTCCAAGGGGGTAGCTTGTTACTAGAGGTTCTTGGTATGTTTGCACATACCAATGCTAGTTGGTTTGGCTTACCTGAACTGCATTAAAGTAGAATGACATTTTCCCATGTTTTTATGTGATGGGGAAGTTCACCTTTTCTGACTAATTAATCGATATATTCTTCTTGTCTATTTAGTTGTTGATTTGCAACACATGATTTCTGTTGGTTTTTCCATGGAGCGAAATGCAGATTTCTTCATTTTTGATAGCATTGCAGATTTTGATTTTTTTTTTTTTAATTCATTACCTCCTCTTAGTTTTACTTTGTTCTCTCTGTTTTTCATTTTCTCAATGTATGTGGTTTGTGCTCATCATTCATCAGACTGATGAGATGAGCACAAACCAGAATTGAAATAGAATCTGGCTGTTTCTACTTGTTGGTGGAGGATACATCAAATAACTTCATTTGTCTTAAATTTAGCCATCTGTAATGGGGTTAAGATTTTTCACACGTTTTGGGGATTGGGGTCCACAAAATTCCTTCTTTCTTGTGGCTGGTGTTTCAAGGAAGCTTGTTTCCTGAAAAAAGTAAACCTTTCTTCCTTCCCAGGAATTCCACTCGTAACCTTGTGCCCACATTGGCCAACTAGAGGATAATAACCTTTTTCAGTTACGAATTTCAACTGACATTTGGTAGTTCTCTTCCTTTACTGTAAAGTTTTTGTAAATTCAGGGAGAACTTGGTCTAGCTGTCTAGTATCGGATAGATGCTCTAAGCTGAGCCTTTGTCTTCTTCTTTTTTCACGCTATTGATCTTTTAATTCTGTTGAAGAATTTAAGCTGAGTTGGCAAGGTAGCTTGAACCTTATTGAGAATCGTTCTCTCAACGAAGAGTTGTGGCGTTTACAGGTTCTTTCGAGGTTTAATCAGAAAGTGCCTTGCGTGCAACTTTGATGCTGAGGATTAGTCATGATGTCGACCACCACTTCAAGATAAACAATAGAGTAGATAATATGTGGAGAAGTAAAAAGATTCCCACTCAGTATTTAATTTGTTAACATTTCGCCTCCCCCCCCCCCCCCCCCCCCCCCCCCTTCTTTTTTTTTTCCTTCAATTTCTTCCTGTTTGACTCTGCATCGTTTCACATGTGTTATCTGGTGCTGCTTCTGCTAGGGATGTCCATTCTACTGGTTCAGTTGTATTAGTATTAAAGAATATATATATATATATGAGGCTGACTTGATTCGTGCATGGTTCTTCCCTTTCCATATTCTTTTGGGAGGCTAAAGGATATATTCATCTTCTATGTCACAGTAGCTTTCCCATGGGTCTTCTGGATGTGTCTTGAAGCAACATTAAACAGGACCTGGAAGTTTCTTAAAGCTTTTCATACCCAAATAAAATGCACAGTTTTGCCATGAATGTAGCAGGCAAACGAATGAGTATCTTTCGAAGTCATATTCTTGGTTGGCTGTCCATCACATTCCGTTGCTCCTAATCGCAGCGCAGAAACAGCAAGAAGAGGTATCCCCTAAAGTATACACCAAAAGAACATTCTTCAAATGACAAACAAAACATTAGTGGATGATGTTCCAAAGCAGCCCATTTTTCGTAAATCACACAAACAGTAAAACTATGTATTTTCTGGGGATGGAAGATTACTTCTTGATTTCAAAGGTGCTATCTAGTTTAAGTTCATATTTGGTATGAAAATTATAATTGATTTATTTATTTTTTTAAAATTTTTTATTTAAAGAATTGTTATAAATATATTTATGAAAAATAACTTTTCATTTAAATCAAAAGCTCGTTACAAAAGTTTGCTTTGATTTTTAACTTTTTACTTGTAGATTTTAATTTCTATTATCTCTTATCTTTAAAAAGAAAATATGTTGAATCAGTTCTTTATCAAACATACTTTTCATAAATTTCTCTCTTAATTAATTAATTAATTAATTTTTTTTAAAATAACTTTTGAATTATTGTGATAAGTTGTGGGAAACGAACTTCAAGATTCATAATATAGGCTGATGAATTGCATTCTAAGGTTGTAATGTTTAAGAGATATTGGGAGTACTCTCCAATTTTGTAGTCTTAATTTATGATAGTTCTCACCATCCACTCATATTAGATTCTCAACAATGAAATTGGGAATAATCATTGCTGCCCAGAAAGTGCACCAGCACAAACCCATTGGTTGAGTTGACTCCTTCCATCCATAATTTGACATTGAGGCCGTAACATAAAGCAACGGCCAGTATTTAACGGTATTGGACACATCTATTGCTGATATTTACTAATATAGAGATTTTAATAAATAGCAATCACTATCGTTATATAACGATGCTATTACGGTTATTTAGGAAATTTTCGGCGGCTATATTAAAAAAATAAATTAATGTGTATTTTAAAGTTATAATGTATTTTTTTCCATGTGATGTTAAATTATTAAAAGTATTTGTTATTATTTTTTTTAATAAATTCAGCTATTCTTGTATATAATTTTTTTTTTTTTGATACAAGAGAGAGGAAGAGCTCTAAATGAAAGAATGGGCGCTACAAAATCTCGACGAGCTTATGGCACAGATGCATTGTATAATCAAGCTAATACATCCTCTAGGGGCATGTTTAAAGTACGAAATTCCACTTGATAAAGAGTAAGCATGTTTGGTCAGTCAATCGGTTAACTTTTCTGTATTTGTGATCGATATGAAATTTGTTAAAGCCTTCAAAGTATTGTGCAAATGGAAAATGCATATTACCTGTAATGTTTTCGATGCTCACTCGGATTCTAAAGTAATTAAATTATAATCACTGAGTCATTATTATTAATTAGAGATGCTATTAATTTATTATGCTTAATTAATAAATCTATTAAAATAATTTTATTCGAGAGATGTTAATGCATTGACGATATCAATTGTTACGATTATTATTTTACTATCACGATAAGTTACAATCCATAATCATAATTCGACTAATTGTAGAACTCCATCTGTAATTTAAAGCTTTCTTCACATCTACGCAAAAACCAATTTTAATAAGACAAATTATCTAACCTCCTCCATAAGCAACCTTGCTCAGATAACATGAACTTTCTAACGCCCATATGCTTAGAAAAAGTCCGACGACTTTTCCACTACTGGCCAAAAACTCAAAAAAGAACACTTTTAAGTTGGCTATCTAAGGCGATGGACTAATTGGGGGATGACTAATAATCTCTAGTTCATAACCTTCTCGGAAAAGTCCCCCTCAAGTCCAGCTTATAATCTATCAGCACCCATAGCCCACGGAATGAAGAAAAACGGAACAAGACATGTACCTTACGAAGAAAAAGAAGACGGGGAGAAGTCAATAAATACTTCCGGCAATCTACCACATCATGTTCAATAGCCTTATACAAGTCTGAGTCTCCTCCTGTCCTTCAACTTACTTTTCTCTGCCCAGCCAGCGTTTTGGCATTCATTAATTGAAATCCATATCCATACGTGTCACAATCATCTCGGTCAATAATCCAAACTCTAAAATCCCACTTTGAAGGAGTCATTGGAAACAAATTCATTTAATACATTAAATTACAGTCTCAATCCATATTATTAAATTTTTAATTCAACTACGCACAGAAACGATTAATTGCAAACAAGTGAGATTGCACTTTTTAGTCAAAGCCTTTTTTTTTTCTGGTTCAATAATATTACTACCTTCGATCAGTTTTTACATATCTTAAGATTAATTTTTATTTAAACGTAGTTAAAGGACAATCCCTAACGCACGATATAGGATATTCTGAAAATAAATTCTTAAGAATGCTGATCTCAAAAATCAAATCCTAAATTTGACTTACAAATCAACATTTACTTATAAATAATACACTATCACCTTGTGGTTAATTTTTTTTTTATTATTATACTTTAAGAAAGTAAAATTCTAAACAATAACAAATGGTGCATAACTTGTTAACAAACTAAATATTGAAAACTAATGGTAAGTATTGCAAGATAATGTTGGGAGACCTTGACTGAACCATAAATTTTATGGTTGAAAAGTATCTTATTTGTGATCCAAAAGAAAAAAAGGGCAAGTTTTAACCGCACTAGTCGGATTGATGATTGGCGTGGAGGCTAAGGGCGGAGTCAAAATGGTGTAAATAGTTTGAATTGGAACTTGGAATAGTCTTTTACAAGTATATTAGCGCGTGGACCAAATTCCATAGTCCTTGATTGTGTCCAATCCATCTAAGAAAGTCACCATGATCAAACCACATTGTGTATTTTTTTTTTAGCATACTTGTTCATTTGTTTTGATTTTCAGCACCCTGAATATTTGAAGTCTTTTCACTTTTAATTTTTATTCTTTAGAATTAATTATTTTGGGATCACATCATATCAGAGTAAATTAAAAATGAGCCTTTCTAGTTTCAAAAAAATTAAATTAATAAATCCTTTTGTTTCAAAAACTAATTATTTAATTTTTATTATATTTTAAATTTTCATGTAACTAAATATTTTTCATTCTTTTTTAATTTATTTTGATTTTTTATTTAAAAAAAGAAAACAAATGAGAACAAAATTATGAAATAATTAATAAGAAATGATTATTTTTTAAAAAAATTAATATAAAATTAATTGTGGTTCATTGTAGTCAAAGAACTAAATAATTAATTTTTAAAACAAGAGGGACTAGTTAATTTGTTTCTCAAAATTAAAAAGACTAATTTATAGTCTACTCTTCTTATTCGATGCAATGCTTAACCTACTATTTCCTAATAAAT